AGCACATTAATCCACAGCACCACAGCAGTACTCCATATATAAAATGGTACCAGGATTTTAAATCCCTTAAAAAGACTGTAAACATGGGTTCATAGAGGTTACCTAAAATTATCTCTCCATTGAATATTGCCTGGTGGCACTGCCAGATAAGTACTGAGCTACTAACCACAACATTGACACTAGCTGCTCCTCAGGAGAAAGATAAGACTTTCTATTCCCACTAAGTTTTACAGCCTTGGAAATCTATACAGGATTGCTATAAGTCAGAATCAACTTGATGGCAGTGGGCATATTGGGTATAAATATTGTAGCTAAAACTAAGAGGAAAAAGTCTGTAGTCTATGTTGTTGCTGTTGTTGTTATGTGCCGAGCTGACTCATAGTGACCCTGTACAGGGTTTCCAAGACTGTAAATCTTTATGGGAGCAGAAAGCCTCATCTTTCTCCCATGGAAGAGCTGGTAGCTTTGAACTGCTGACCGTGAGATTAGCAGCCCAATAACCACTATGCCACCAGAGCTGTAGTCTGTAGTTCAGTGTAATACTCTAAGTTATTGCAAATGCAGTGTTTAATTTTTAATAGAGAAAATAGAATTGGAATTGTTTATTAAAATCATATACTTCAGATAAGGAACAAAGATCAGAGAATTGGAGCCAAATTTGAGACCCAGATCTTTTTGAATCCTAAGACCCTTCCCACTGTGACTTCCTGCCTTTAAAGAATGTTACAGTCAGTATTTAAAAATCTTTCTTAATAGTTTTTTCTTATCGGTTCCATAAATAATAGTGCTAAATTAATAAAATTATTTATTTTTTCTTTATTTTAGGCAGAAAAATTTAGTTATAAAGATAAGAAACTGAACATCGGTCCAGCAATAAGAAAACAACAAGTAGGAATCCCTCGTATGTATTGAGATCTAAGATTTTTTCAGTATTTTACATGGTTGTTTTTATAAAACTTAAACATGTTATAGGACTTTATTAAAATACCAAGTTTCTTTTCATTTAAAAAGATTATTTTAGGAAAGTAGATGTCCAAATGACCATTTCTTACCACAAATTCATTTATGTATTAGATTTTTGGAGAGCTGGGAAAATTTTTACATGATGATTCTTAAATGTATACCATATGTTGTTGTTGTTAGGTACCATCGAGTCGTAACTGACTAATTGGGGCCCCATGGACAACAGACTGAAGCACTGCCCAGTCCTGGGCCAACCTCACAATTGTTGCCACGCTTGAGCCCATTGATGCTACCATCTCGCTGGGGGTCTTCCTCTTTTTCTCTTACCCTCTACCTTACCAAACATAATATCTTTCTCTAGCAACTGGTCCCTCCTGACAATATGTCTGAAGTATGAGTGCTGCATTCAAACAGATCTAACACAGATCTGTTTGTTCTTTTGGCAACCTCTGGTACTTTCAGTACTCTCCTCTGACACCATAACTCAGAAGCATCAATTCTTCTACTGTCTTCCTTATTCACTGTCCAGCTTTAATATGCATATGAGGTTATCAAAAATATCATGGCTTGGGTCAGGCTCACCTTAGTCCTCAAGCTGACATCTTTGCTCTTGAACATTTTAAAAAGCTCTTATGCAGCAGATTTGCCTAATGTAATACGTTGTTTGATTTCTTGACTGCTGCTTTCATGAATGCTAATAGTTGATCCAAGAAGAATGAAGTCCTTGACAACTTCAATCTTTTTTCCAGTGATAAGAATGTTTTTTATTGGTCCATTGTGAGAATTTTTGTTTTCTTTGCATTGAGATACAATCCATACTGAAGGCTGTAGTCTTTGATTTTCATCAGTAAGAATTTTAAGTCCTCTTCCCATTCAGCAAGCAAGGTTGTATCATCTGCATATTTAGAGATCATATGGAGAACAGATTTGATACATTAAACACTAAAGACTAAAGACCAGAAGAGTTGTGGGATGACATCAAGAACATCAT